TAGTATTTCTACAAAGATCTGTAAAAGTCTGTACAAAAATGTTCAGAATATTTTGTGTAATGTGGATCACAAATAGTAGCTTAAATGTAAATAAAATGTACAGAAATAGAAAGCATATGTCAAAAGCACTTTATCTGACCCTAACCCACCAAAAATATCCTTGCTTCCTGTGTTCCATTTATCTATCACAATCTACATCCATTTTAGCTGTATAATCTGATACTTATCCCACATATTCATGTGATTTTATATTCTGAAAATATTAGGAAGAAAGGATTTATTAACATAGCCTCTCAAGAGACATTTACAGAGATTATRGTTCTTCAGCCTTTGCGACTTACTATTTTTTTTTATTTCAGGTTCAAAATTTTAATGTTAGAWTTTTAAAAAACCTAGGAATTACATTTCTAAGAACCAGGTAGTGCTTGATATGAGCTTTTATGTAAACAACTTTTCCGCTTTCTAGTAATTCACAGTGATTAAAAAAGTAACTAAACATTTTGAATGACTAATAAGGAAACCTGCTAATTTAATGAAATATGATAAAGGAAAGGGATCTTAGATGTACTGTGTATATAGCCATAATTAAAACATACTATAAAGGACAAAATTTCAACAGGACAAATCCAATAGGTTCCTCACCCACAAAAGTAACTAGGCTTAAGAAAACTTTCTTYGGACATTGAAAATGCCAGCAACACACCCTCTCCCAGGGGTTTCTTTGGAAAGAAGGAAGTTTATACTCAGGACAATATTTTACATTACGGTACAAAAGTAGTATTAATCATTGGCATACAGTATGGAGAGTCCAAACTTGCAGTTATGCACACTTGAATTTTTATTACTAAAAATATGAGCAAGGAGCTCCACAGAGTGGGAGGACACAAAAGGACTGTAATATGTAAAACTTAGAGGAACCCATGGTTATGAAAGAGCACTACAGACTTTTCAGACTTTTTCTACAAAACTCTTCTGATTAAAGACTGAGATTTGGTCATAGTTTTTGATGTAGACTGCACAATAAATTTCCTAGCTCTGAGAAAAATCTACCAGCATGTCTTTGGAAAGCTAAATGTTGGAATAGAAATCTAATCAGTGACCTGAATCACTAGACAAGAAAATATGAAATAAAAAATTATGAAACCAAAGAGAATTTGCCTATAAAACAGCATGAAAGTCCAATAGTTCCAAATTACTACAGTCTCGTGAACATGCTACAGCTTTCTGTGGTCTACTAAGCAGACTTCTCAAACCATTTAAAATAATTTGAATAATTTGGATCCTGACTAAATTATCAAGACTAAAACCATACCTGTAACATGCTACTTGCCAGGAGTTTATATGCAGGCTCGGTATTACATCCACAAAATAACTCCCTGCGTACACATTGGATTCATAAACCAGAGTTAATGAAGGAAATTATATAACTAAATCTCTACCATATGGAGTTGAACTGAAAATATGTGTCAGTTTTCTGAAATTCTCCACTGCAAGCTAAACTTCATGCATCTGAAAGGCCAAAAAAGAACAAACCCAAAATACTGATTGTAGATTTTGTGGAACTTCACACATGTTAGTTTTGCTTCCTTCTGCTTTAGAAGTAAAACACTTTGATCTCATTACTTCCACCACCAGAGCTTCAGAGTTTGTTAGAATAAAAAGGACCATCTCATGTACCTCAGTCTATAGACTAGTCTATAGATGAAGCATGGACAGCTACCTTGATATAGATGCTTCCAACTCATCATAAAGATGCCAGGAGCCAGACATCATGTGAGTCCAATCCAGCCTTGATTTCTGCCTTTTTATTTGTCCTTCCTTCAGAAAAGTTAATTTCATAGCTTTTTTTTCCACCTAGCCTTTAGATGTACCATTTCATTCTGCCTGTTCTGATAGAACTCATACCAAAACCAGTCTTTTTCTTAGACAACCCATGTTTTCTCCTTTTTAAATTTATAAACTACTTTCTAATATTACATATATTAAATGTATTATGTGTATTAAAATGAACAGTTTAACTTAAAGATAAGAGCAAAGTTTTAGAAAATGTAAATAATATAAAAGATGGGCTGTATATTGGGTACAATATAAATCATTTTGACATGGCATAAAAAGTCTATATGATCTCTTGTTTGGGCTACATTTAAATTGCTGACAATGTAAACTCAGATCATTTTCAAAGCAAGTTCTGCTGCTAGTTATGCAGAAAAAAAACACTCGTGGCTCAGAATGACTATTATAAGCTGACCATAAAGTTGCTAGTCATCTTGCTACATGATGTTTTTTTTTATACTAATCAAATGCTATTGATTTGTTGTAATAAGAGTCTAGGTTATTTTCTTTGTATTTCATTTACATGGGAGTAATACTCACACAGCACAGGGCTTTTCATATTACAATGTATTACAAATATTTTCCAACAGGACACATTCAAAAAGGACTATTCACTTCCAACATAATTACTACTAATAAAGATGTTTAACTACAAGATAGAGACTTGATATAAAAAGACATACAGTAACTAAGTAGCAGTGCATGATTTAGTGTACACTGTGAAAAGATGAATCTTCATAGATACAATCCATGAAAATCTGTAGAAAATTGGGAGAAGCTGGATACCACACCAGGGAGCATTAGGTTGAAAGGGGTTTATACCACCAAATATGTAGGACTGAATAGACAGTAGGAAGATAGTCCATTATTCATCATTTTGATATTGGGGTAGACTGAATGAAATGGATTGTGGTAGTATGCAGAAGTCGGCTCATGATTCTTTAGTTTAAAACAGTTGTAAAAATACGTCAGTATTAGACCATGTTTTTATCTACTCCTTCCTTCCTTCCCTATTAGTCACCTTGCTGAATTGGAATCATAATCAGTTTCATTTAAATTAAAAAGAAAAAAGCAAGCAAAAAAGTTCAATCATTCTCATTTATGTTAAGGCTTCTTTACGAGGTCTAATAATGGACACAGTTGCACTTTAAACCATCTTCACTATTATTCATGGAGGTCTGCATATAACTGAGAATCAAGCTGAGTCAATAGGTGACAGTGATACTTACCTGTCATTTAAGTCAGTTGTCTTTCATTTATGAAGAATATTTGGTATATTTGTTTTGCAACTGACTGCTGAAATTGTGACTGCATTTCATTTACAAAAATAAAATAAAATAAAATAAAATAAAATAAAATAAAATAAAATAAAATAAAATAAAATAAAATAAAACAAACAAAATAAAAGCATGGTTTATTTGTAGTCAAATTTTTAATATCTTCAGGGGGTTTCTATAGGTTGCAGATTAACTATACTACAAACACAAAGCACTGTTAAACTCTGGTTAAATCATTAGCTGAGGCACAGTGTCAATGCTCCTTAATACCAATTGCCCAACCAAACAGGTAAAGCTGATCAGACACCGTTATTGATAAATCCCTGTACAACAGTGTGGCCTTGCTAAGCCCACCCAGATTGAAGAGGACCTAGCAGCTTTGGCTCAGGGGTAAGCGTGCCGGCTACCTGTGTGCTCCTGTGCCCCTGGGACTGGAAGTGGGAGTGTGTGTGTGCACACGCATGCATGTGTCTGTAGGGAGAGGGACTGGAAAGAAGAATGCTTAATTTAGACCAACTAAATTTAGATTTAGTTGATTTAGAATCAACTTTATATTCTCTTCCAGAAGGTATTAGGATACTCCAGATATATATGAAACTTACGTTGGATTTATTCTTTAAGTTAAAATTTACATATAATGTTTTCCTGGAATAGTAGTGGGCAGCATGTTCAAGAGGGACACACTCAAAAATTCCAGAATACAAACCATACCTATTTATGTGTCTATTTTTAGACCATTTCAGTTTTACCTTACTCAACAGATCATGCTTTTATCTCAAGACTCCACAATCCTTTATTCCTTTTTACTTTTCTGATCTCATGGTTGACCCTGCTTGCAGCAGGAGGTATTAAAGATGTTTAGAGGTYTCTTGTAGCCTGAATTTTCCTTTGATCTTATGATTCTTAAAAGGAATTACATGTTTATTTATCTGTTGATCATCTTGCTGTGAACACTTAGTTTCCCTCCATGCTGACCTTTTATAAAAAATACCTCTTCTCCTTCCTCTAATTTCTTAAACCATTTCCTTGACTTTCAAAAGATCTTCATTCTCTTATGCCTTGGTGCCCACAATAAAATCACTGCTAAYTGACAAAAGATTGTAAAATAGACAAGAGACACGATTTTCCTAAAAATTACCTCTCCTTCTAAATAACAAGAAGTTTTGTAAAACATGCTGACTTTTCTACTGAAAAATCTCTATGTCTCTATGTTCATCTCTACAAATCTGAACACAAATTTGAAATTTGTTTTTTCAAATTTTTCCTACTTAAGTCTTAGAAAACCATGGTAAAGAAATCTGAACRTTCCTTTTTATCTACTTGTTTTTAACCACCTGTTTGTCACAAGCTAGTCTTACTCTAAAGTGCTTAATGCCTATCTCTTTATTCTGCTGCCATAGTTTGGTCCCAGATTTATAATATTCAGAACAAGTGACACATYTGTAGTCCCAGTTAACACCTTCATATGTAGCCAAGCCAAAAATACCATTACCAACGTTGCATGTGTAGCCTGCACCGAGATTTAGAAAGACTGCAAAGTGTGGAGCAGTTAGTTATTCCACAATCAGCACAGCGCTGATGCTGTAGCTCAAATATCCACGTGTGGCAGTCTTCTGCAACGGACCTCTTTGTACAAACTTTTTTATCATGGCAGGATGAAGTTTCTGGGCATATTGAGAGAATTATATTCCCAACAAGAGCCTTTCCCTCAAGTTTTGCTACAYACATTAGGACTGTGATGGTACTACTGCCTTTTTGGGCCTCATGCAGCAGATCAGAAAAGAAGGTGTTTTCCCTTCAGCTGGGATGAAACAGCTCTCATTTCAAGTTTAACACAAGCAATTGTGTAACAGAAAACTCAAAGACTTGGGAGGAATGGACTCCACTTACCTCCTGGACAGTGCCTCATGGCCATTTTGCACCGCCTGGACTCTGCAATGGTTGGGCACTGTATTGTGTCTTTTGCTGGCTTCTTCACGATGTGTCTTGTTCTTGTTTCCAGGCCCCATTTAAATCCACATGTTTTATTGTTTCTGCTGCAAGTTCCCCACTCACTCCACTGACCCACTTCACAGCCTTCTGGTAACGCAAAAGAGAAAAACAAGTTAGCACGGCCTTTCAGCTCTTAGTTTCTTCTTTTCCTTCCTTTTAATTAGCAAGAGTGCATAATTAGAAAGCACTACGTATGAGTTTTACAATTAATAGACTGGAAACAAAATATCTTACAATATCTAAAAGAATCCTTGAAGTCTGCATCAGTCTAAGCATAAAACAGTGAGAATATCAGCCTTCCTGTATGGAAGTGAGGTAAATTCCAAGTATTCAAAAAACCCTCCTAAAATCATGAGATTGACTTAAACTTTTCTCTTTTTAATAAATAAATACTATTTGGTTGTCACCTGAATAAACAACATTCAAGAGTTTCTAGTAATGCCTCATCATCAAACGCAAGAACTATTTCTGAAAAAGTCTGTTTTGACACTATTCCCAGGCTTCAAGATAAAAGACCAAATCTTGAGGCTCACATGAAAAACCATGAGAACTGCCAATGCTGGCTCAGAGTTATAAGGTAGATTTCCACTAAAAACATGTATTTGATGGTTTATATTGAGACTTGCTCCTCATTAAAATAAATTGTCCAGCTTGTATGCGAAACAGTAAGTTGCAGTAATAATACAACTCATCAACTTCAAGGAGCCAGAATGAAAAGCTCCTGCAATGTTCCCTTGTAACTTGTAAGATAAAAAAGAGGAGAGCTCCTGAGAAACAAGAAGTCAATTGGAAGCCAAGATTTCTATAGACAAACTGCTGTACCTTTTACTTTGTAAAAGTCAAACTGGACAGGTAGTTACAGAGGCAAAAATCCAACAAAACTGGTGAAAACAGCTTGGAAAAAAAAGTGTAAAAAAAGTGTAAAAACTGGCCTGAAAACTTTAAAATTTTAAAGTTAAGCCCTAATATAAGGTGATTCCCAATGAAAAGCGCAAAGCCTTTAGGTGCAGAACAACAAACACAGCAGTATTTCCAGTAATATTTTATTTCAAAATTTGGAAAAAATATTACTGGGAAGGAGATTCATACACAATTTCCTCACAAATATTTCTATRTCAGAAATGCTAAACACTGGCAAAAAAATTAAAATAGTGACATAAGTATCTGCACTTGGCCTCCTGGCAAAAACAGTTGTTTCAGTAGCCTTGGTGTCCTGAACACTCACCCACACACTCCATAATCTCTTCCAAGGCTGCAAATCCCGGGGGGCATCCTCTGAAGCAGCGGCCTCGGTGAGAGTAGAAGCCGGTTTTGCATTTGGTACAAAAGTCTCTGCTAAAGCAGGAATCGCAGTTCTCTATTCTGCATCCTAAACCAGAAGGATTGTAAGGAACAACATGACAGTGTAAGTAAAAATGAAAAGGCTTGTAAAGCAGCAGAATGGCAAAATGGAAAGTACTATGAGAAGGAATACTGTCAACCTGAAACCTGCCAGATATATATGASTAATTAAAAGTTTACTCCAAGTACCCCTTTTTCCTCCACATTGTTCTGCTCATTTTCTTATTAAAAAATAGAAAATGTCATATTGAATTGTTGTATAAAAATGTTCTCAAAGGAAACTGAATAAATAGTAGAAACAATAACACTTGCAGTAAGATGTTTTTAAAGTAAAAAGCTGAAATGCCTGCTTTTCAATGGAAACTGTACATAAAATTTCTAATTAATTTTTTTTGAACTGATTATATATTTTTGAAAGAAAAAAATGCTTGATATAAATTATCTTACATATTTTGGAGGAAAATATGGTGTGATCAATTATTTTAGGAAGTATGGATGTATTATTTTATCATTCGTCACTGCAAGCAGGATCCAAAAGCTTTTGATGGGCTGACCCTATGAATAGGTGCATGAATGCTTTCAGGTGCCAGGTTTGATTTCCATACCTGCAGGTATGCATGTGGTATTATGCAGAAAAACTCAATTCTCCATTACTAATGAAGCCAATATCCATACAAAATAGCCTTTATTAAAAGATTAAAAAATATAAAACTACTATCAATAGTGTGAGAARAATTCCCTAACACTGATTTTCTCTGAGAATTTGAGAGAAATATATACTCAATGATAGATTCAGAAACAGCCTACACCATGCTAAAACACAGCAAATGGTAAATAAAGTAGATATCAACAATTATATGCACAACGGAAAGACAGAAATGCTTTCATGGTTGCATATGAAAGTCAGCCATACATATCCACAAATAAATGTTGAGCAAAAGCATTTCAAAGACTACCGAGAGAAAGCTATTATATTGAAACAGTAATGAACATCTTATAGTTTTTAAAGATAAAAATAAATCTTCCAGATAACATAATTTAAATAACTTATATAAACTACATTAAYTGTATCATGTTATCAGCTACCTGAAGTTACAGCAATGAACATTTGTTATTCATTTCATGCAACAATGCACTAGACCTTGTGGTCACTTATGTCATTCATCTATTTTTCATTCTTTCATTCTTTCCAAAGAGAATGTTCATAGAATATGTGACTTCTGAAATATGAGCAACTCCCCTAAGAACACTGCAATTTTATCTAATCTTTATAAAGCAGATTTTAGTATTTATTTATGAAATTCAGAAGGCCAAAACAAGGCATGCCATCACACAAACTTGACAGTGGTGGGAAACTATTCTTTATAGGGAATTTTAGAGAAATATGAAGCTTTTTAGAACAGACTTCTTGTGGGATTGGTCTAGAAATGAGGCAGCTTGCATGCGGAAAACAAACATTTAAAATGCTGGTATCTCTTTTTGATTTTAAAGAACTCAAAAATCAGAACTCATCAATCAACAGGAAATCAGCAAATAGAACTCAACCATCAGACACAACCTGTTTGCTATAAACAGGTTATCTAGTTAGAGACTTTCTTTACATTCTTTCTCTTTAGAGATAGATAATCTAGTTAGAGACTTTCTCTACATTACATTTAAAACTTTGGTTCATATAAGTACCAGAGGTTTGGCTCCCTGTACAGCTCAGTCTAGGGGAAATTTCCAGGAATTGCCAGGAATTTCCAGGAATTTATTTTTTAACAAGGTTTGAATTGATCTTCAAAGAAGGGAAAGTCAATGTCTACACAAGATACTTGAAAGCTATGTAGATGATGCATGTCAACCACGATTTCAAATAAATCTTTAGATAGGGTCCTTGCTTTGCAGTAAATAGATTTGTCTTACTTGGACAAAACTCCAAAAGTATTTTCATATAGAGTTCATACAAACTACTTCATCTATCCAAAGAACTCTGAAATTGTACGGTGAATGAAAACAGATCTAAACACATTATTATATTAACTATAGGAATATTGGTCAGAAATATTAATTCTTTACCTTTAATATAAACAGATAACCTATTAAGAGACTGACCTGCAAAATCTCTTCCCCAGATTAATATGTGTCTGCAAGATAAAGTCATAAAGTGAGGTGGTCTGGAGATGTTAATAGTTAGTGCAAAAGTTAGTTGCAAATCTGGTTTGTTATACTTGAGATGTAGTTGAGACAGCAAATATTTTATTAAATGCAATTCTTGAATCCAGTGTGTAATATAAATACTCAGAAAAACATTTGCCTCTTGTCCAKGAACGCAAGACGATTTGAAAAGACATCAAGGCTTTTCGAAATCATTTAGTCCAATGATGAGGTGCAGAACAGATCATTAAAAGAAAAAATTAGTATCACGTGGCCCTCCTTTGCATCCAAGTGATGTAAATGTATTTTTGAAATAATGTTATAACTATTGCTTTCAAAGTATGATGGGAAATACTACATTTAAAGTTTATTCCATTTGAACTCTGTGGAGCGGAGAAAGGATTAAATGACAGACTTCTGGCACAAGTTGCTTTCTGATAACATATAAATACATTTACCATGTGAAATCCTGCCTCACCTGACCACGGGAATACCTTCCATACAACTTGCACTCCTTTGATTTAACACTACATATGTGAATACCCAGCATTTCATAAATTCATAGAATGCTTAAGGTTGGAAGGGACCTGAGAGGTCATTTAAACATTAAATTAATGAATCAATCTTATTTCTGTTTCTTGAACATAATTCAATACTCCCATCCTATTTATGTCATTTCCTTTGCCTTTTATGGCAGATTCATCTTGCATTACAGTGGAGTCCATGACATTATAATTACATATTGCAGGCATCAGTAGCAGCTCCAGGATTAGAGTTTAGCTGAGGTTTCTAGAATTCAGTTTGTTTTTTTTTCTATAAAGATAAATTACTTAAAACATGAAATATCTATGATTTAATCAATATCAGATGCATTCTGAGGAAAATACTGAAAAAAAAATAGTTCTACTGTAAGAATTCTAAACTCAAACATTAATGCTCAGACTCAGCACTATGCTTCTGTTTATTGATTACTAACTGTAATTATAGTTTTGACCAAACTGTAGCCGAAGGTCATTCCAGAGTGACAACTCCTCCTTTTCCATGTTCTCAGTATCCACTTTTTCAGGAAAAACAAACAAAACAGAAAATGGTGCCCACTTCCCACTGTACAAAAATAAATGGGAGATTTTAGAAGTAGGAAGTGGAAAGAAAAGTAGTAGAATATGGGAGTGAAAACATTGGTGTTCAGGGGAGAACAAATTAATAAATTCAGTCTTTCTGAYGAATCCACCAAAGCAATCACACATTTGTTAGAGGCCTACCATACTTGCATAATAATGACATTAAGCTAGCAAAGCCAGTCTTGAGAACCTGAGACTGCAAAAGTTATAAGTACTTTATTGCTGCTATTCCCACTCAGTTACACTAGCTACAAGAGTATATGAGGGTTAGACGCATATATACTTATGAGTACCCACCTTTTCCTTCCCTTATACTCAGTTTGCAGTATTTCATGATGGGTCTGCTTCCTATCAAATCTCCATTTTAAAAAAGATGACAGTTCTTAAAATATTGCACCATACTTCCCACAGGAGTTATATACAAATAGCAAAAGACATAAATTCTGAACTCAGATGAAATTAATATCAAAGATCTTAATTGCTTCAGCAAGGAGAGTTTTCACTAGTAACTTTCTATCCCATCAGAGAGACAAGACCCCACTATAAGTATCTAAACAGCAAAAAAAGGAAATTAAAACTCCTAAAAAGATACAATCTTTCATGATAAATATATATTTAAATCACCCATGGTTCAAAGAGTGAGAGCTAAAGAAAAGCAGTGCTTTCTAGAAGTCTATTTTCAATTACAAGCTGTCACGGGAGTGATTATAAACCACAGCTCCATGACCTCACTTCTCAGGGGAAAGGGTGGAACAGAAGTCCCTGGCGAAGCTGAGCTGGGCTGAAGTTAGACAGAAGTGCTCTGCTCAAATATCTTCAGTGTTTAGACAAAAGAAACTTAAATGAAAACTTATCCTTTCAACAGAGCTCTGAAATTTTGATTTATGGGACAAGCATGAAGATAAAAATCATATACACCTTTCCAAGTGGAAAGTTTATTGATACTGTGCAATCTCTTCGTTTAGCATGACAGATGGATAAGACCTTGAATTCAGTGCAACACAAGGGGAGAACATCACATTAAAGTRCCTCCATCCTCGAGATCAGTTACAGGAACAGTATATGCTCAAGAAAGAAACATAACTCCTTGTGTTAAGACTGTGTCACTCTTCRATCAAAGGCCAGGAAACCCACAGGACTAAAGGACTTGAGTCTTTATCCTGAGAGTTTCCAGCAGGCAATTTAAAAGCATTAAAATATTTTAGGTCAGAATGTTCTCCTTTCCAGAGAAGGAAAAGGATTATCATCCTCACAGCCTCCTTTCCTGGTCTCAAAAAGACCACTGACAAGAAAGTCCAAAAACAGAAATTTAAAAAAATTAGACTTTGTTTACTGAAATAGGGTAGCAATAGAAAAGTTGTGTAAGGAATTTAAGAGCCAAAGTGCCTTTTTACTTAATCTTTAATGACCTCTAGCACTCTATGGCACTTCAGAAATAATTTTTTTCTAAGGTATTTTTACATATATAGCAGGTTTTTTAGAAGTAGTGATAATGGTTCTGAACCATACATCAGCCAAAGTTAGGGCAACCAATCTGGTCTATAAGAAGAGCATTTAGCTAGTCAGAAATAAAATATTCAATTTAGAATTTATAATCCTATTTACATTGGCCCATATATTCATCTGCCATTTACTTGAGTATCTGAAAAAAAAAAATCTGATTGAGGTGGATGAAATTTTAAATATTTATAGAAAATTACATAATGGTGCATTAAAGAACGCTAGCAGGAAAAAGCCTGGATTACAAATCATGCTCGAATTAGAGATACAT